GCATTTGATACTCTCATCCATCATTTAACGCAACCACCGATACTCGCCTATGCTGATTATTCCCTGCCTTTTGAGGTACACACAGATGCAAGCGGAGCTGGACTTGGAGCAGTTCTTTATCAGAAGCAACAAGGATGTTTGAGGGTTGTAGCCTATGCCAGTAGAGCTCTACGGAAGAGTGAGAAGAATTACCCAGCTCACAAACTGGAATTCCTGGCACTCAAGTGGGCAGTAACTGACAAGTTCCACGAATATCTCTATGGAAACAAGTTTGAAGTGAAGACGGATAATAATCCTTTGACATATGTCCTCACTACTGCTAAACTTGATGCCACTGGACATCGCTGGCTAGCAGCACTTTCAGCATATGATTTCAAGATCATTTATCGCCAGGGAAACAAGAACCAAGATGCAGATGGATTGTCCAGACGGCATAATCATGGAGCTGATTTAACCAAACTGGATGTTCCAAGTATCAAGGCCATCTGTCAAGTTCACCAGGCGATAGGTACTCATGCTGAAAGTCTCACCTTTCATGAGGAGGCCATATATCCAGAGGAACCATCCCTGCCTTTAGCCTCGAAAGAACACAACTGGAGGAAAGAACAATCACTGGATAAAACACTTGCTCGGCTGATATCACTTTTGAACCTAGGACACAAGCCAACAGCACGCCAACGTTCTCTTGAAGATCAATCCGTCAGGAAACTCCTTCTGGAATGGGACAAGTTTCTTCTAAACAAAGGAGTTCTCTATCGAAGTGTGAACAGTTGTGATGGAGTTGTACATCAAATTGTGTTACCAACCATACACAAGGAAACAGTTCTCAAGGCCATCCATGATAATTCAGGACATCAAGGCAGAGACCGTACTCTCGACTTAATTCGAAACAGGTTCTTCTGGACTGGCATGAATGAAGATGTAGAGAGATACATTCGTAAATGTGGAAACTGCATCAGACGAAAATCACCTGTAACAAGGAAATCAGCTGAGCTAGTCAACATTCAGACAACCCAACCAATGGAACTAGTGTGCATGGACTACTTGCAATTGGAGGAATCAAAAGGTGGATTTGGGAACATTCTTGTGATCACAGATCATTTTACAAGATATGCTATTGCCATACCAACCAAGAATCAATCCGCCAAGACAACAGCAAGAGTTCTTTTTGATAATTTCCTTGTGCACTATGGATTTCCAGCCAAACTTCACAGCGACCAAGGGAGAAACTTTGTAGGCAATATCATCAAGGAGTTATGTCAACTGACAGGAATTCGGAAGACTCGAACCACACCATATCATCCCCAAGGAAACGGAATGTGTGAGAGATTCAACCAGACTCTTCTGAACATGTTGGGAACCCTTGAAGAAGATAAGAAAACTGACTGGAAGACTTATGTTTCTCCACTGGTTCACGCCTACAATGCCACAAAGCATGAGAGTACAGGATACTCACCTTTCTACCTTATGTTTGGTCGACATCCACGCCTGCCTGTTAATGCTTTCCTTGGAGTCAAGAAGATTGGTGATGACCACACTACCACGACTGAATATATCAACAAATTGAGAAAGAGATTAAACTTTGCTTATGAAAGTGCATCACGTGAAGCCCAAAGAGCTGGTCAACGTCATAAGAAAAGATATGATGCCAAAGTGCGTGCCTCAACTCTCCAACCTGGTGACCGTGTCCTTGTTCGTCTTGTAGGACTTACTGGGAAACACAAGCTTGCTGATAAGTGGGGACGGGATGTGTTCCAAGTTGTAAACCAACCAAATAAGGACATCCCAGTATTCACCCTGCAACAGGAAGATGGCAAAGGACTGAAGAAGACACTTCATCGGAACATGCTCCTGCCACTTGTGTCAATACCAGCGGAACCAGTGTTTGGACATCAGAAAAACAATGAAAGAAAGGCAGGGACGAAGAAATCTGTATCCTTGAAGGTGAAAGAATACCAAGAACTCATGGAGTCAGAAGACGAAAATGCCGAGGAAGTATTTGTATTGTTACCAGATCCGATTAGTCCACCAGTGTCTCAGGTTACTGGATCCAATGGAACTAACTTTGGTCGAGATCTAGAAGAAAGAACTGAAGCTAATAGAGAGGAATCCATGGAAACAGTAGGAACTGTGATTGAGCTTGAAGACTCATTTCCTGCTGACACGTCTCCTGGACCACCATCTAACAGTTCTCCAACACGCTATACTTCCAGCCCTCCTGAACAGTCATCTGCTTCAGCGGAAGAGGAGCCCGGTACAACGTCTGCTCATGACGAGGATGTAGTTGCAGACTCCACTGATCATGTGTCAGAACGGAATTCTGATATGGGGAGGCCTACCCGTAACAGAGCTCCTCCGTTTTGGCTCAGAAATGGCAATTGGGTAACTGACTACAGTATTCTTGCCAAATCATCTGTTTCCTCTGATAAAGATGTTTTCATCATCGGCCGCTGGTATCTCTGAATCGTTTGAGGTTTTTGTATAGTTGTGTTGTTAACTTTCAAAGTTGTGGACTCATAATGTGTGTAAGTAGTTGTATAAAGGTTTCACTTTTCTCTGTTTGGATGCTTCAGCGCATTTTAATGTTGAGGACAACATTTCTCAAAGGGGGGGAAGGTGTCGCCGGATTTATTAGTTGCCAAGAGTTATCTCTTTTTCATTTTACGGACGCTTCATCTCTCAATCTTACTCCTGGTTGTCTTACCATCAGTATCTCGTGCTAATACCTGGGGTGTGACGTGGACACTTTCAAATGCCACTTCATGTCACGCCATTGTCGAGGGAAGACATTCTTTCTTCCTCGACACATCAATTCATGTTGATGTAATTTATATATTTTTACAGGTATGTACCCGTGTCTATCTACTTTCTTTATGGAAATCTAGTCAATAGAATAGGTAACGCGATTGTAGAAACTAAATAATTAATGTTGTAAATTGTGAATATCATACTCGGTCTAAAGGCATCGCGTTGCACGAGATTACTAATTCAAACACTAAGTTTAAAGCACCATCCTGTAAGATTGTGAGTGAAAGATCTGGTTAAGTTCCATTTGTTTATCATGTATATATATTTTATTATTACATGAAAGATCATAAAAATGTTACTTTGTTTATAATGTGGTGACGTCACACATAACGTGTGCCGCCGAAATCATTTATTGCTGCATTTATAGTATATAAAGTAACAGCGTTTGAATATTATATTGTGCCATGCTATGCAACGTAATAAAATGCGACTTCATGTCACGCCATTGTCGAGGGAAGACATTCTTTCTTCCTCGACACATCAATTCATGTTGATGTAATTTATATATTTTTACAGGTAATAAATCCTTTTATACCTCATCCGCACCGCCTCAGTTCCCTCGATTACATCGTTGGCAGAACCCGCGACACAGATATGTTTTAATATGACATTGTAAAAGAATTCAAACAAATTCAAAATTTATAGAAAACAGCTGTTCGATTGAAGTTAACCTTGTTTTGTCTCTTGACTTGCATGACTCGGAAAATGCGTACGGCTTTTTGCTTTTAGTGGGTATAAGGGATTTATTTTGCCTCTCAAATCCACTTGCAGCCTCTCTTGCTCGTGGGGATATAAGGGATTTATTAGCCTACTGAGATGTGTATTCCCCTCCAAGGCGGGATACATCATATTTTATTAAGATCATGTCGACCAATCAGATATCATCATTCTCACATGGAGGTATGATAATCCCTTTCCTGTTGAAGTCCACCATCCACACCAGGAATAACCACACATAAGATCTTAATTTGAAGTATCTTTATGATGCAGTAAGCCATACACACCAGGATAAACATACATAAGATCTTAATTTAAAGTATCTTTATGATGCAGTAAGCCATACACACCAGGATAAACATACATAAGATCTTAATTTGAAGTATCTTTATGATGCAGTAAGCCATACACACCAGGATAAACATACATAAGATCTTAATTTAAAGTATCTTTATGATGCAGTAAGCCATACACACCAGGATAAACATACATAAGATCTTAATTTAAAGTATCTTTATGATGCAAGTAAGCCATACACACCAGGATAAACATACATAAGATCTTAATTTAAAGTATCTTAATGATGCAGTAAGCCATACACACCAGGATAAACATACATAAGATCTTAATTTAAAGTATCTTTATGATGCAGTAAGCATTACACACCAGGATAAACATACATAAGATCTTATTGTTAAAGTATCTTAATGCTGCAGTCTGCAATCAACACCAGGAATAAACATACATAAGATCTAATTGTTAAAGTAACTGAATGCTGCAGTCAGCAATCAACACCACAGAGACAATCATTTAGTTGTAAGACACAGACAGAGACATGTGTGTAACCAGTTATATACAATTTAAAGCACTAATCCACAATATGCTGACGATTGGTTGATATACCACAAGGGTAGCCTGACAGAGGGTAAAAACGTCCTGTAATGTTCTTGGGAATTATATTTTTTCTATAAATAACTCAGCCTTTCATTCGTCACCAGTACCACTTTCATTCGTGCGTTCTTTCCATCTAGATGTTTGAAAACTTTGAAATTGGCTACTGAGCCACTGATTGTAAAATAAACAGGTGTGGATCCCAGACATTTACCACTGAGGTGAAACCAACAAGGTACAGGCATGGTGCTGACAAACCTAGAAACATAATCAGGGTGAACCAGGATTCAAACTCACAATGATAAGACCTATCTATGTGCCAAGTTTGGTGAAAAAATATGGTATGGTTTTCAAGATCTGCTCCGGAAACGAAATGTGACGGACGGACGGACGGATGGAAGGATGGAAGGACGGAAGGACGGACAGATGGCACCCATGCCTATATCCCCCTACCACTTCGTGGCGGGGGATAATAACCCAATTAAGATAGAAACCCTAGAGTAAAAACTCAATAGCTCAAAAAGTTATCTGGAGCTCTGTCCACAATCTGGAGCCATTGTAACCAACTGATTCCAACTACCTACCATGTCTGCTACCTTACAAAGGGTATCGGACAGCTCATCAAACACCTCCACCATCTTGCGTGTCCTGTGCGGACTGGTTGCTTCTTCCACCAGTTTCTCCACTTCATCACAGGCTCGTTGCTGGAGTAGATAGAACCCTCGGAAGTCGGTCAGTTCAGGGATACAAAACAGGCCCTGTAATAAGAAAGGTGAGGTGAGGTGAGGTGAAATTGGGTTTAACGTCGCGTCCAAGATTATTGCACTTATATAGTGACGTGCATGTACATGTATGTGTTTGTGTGGCTGCTTGTACTAGTCCGGACAGATGCCGATTTATAGTGCTAGCTCACTGAGATACCATGCAGCAGTTAAACATGAATACCCCACTCAGACACAGTATACTGACTCCGAGCCGACCAGTCCTTGTTTTAGCCCCTTAATGCCGAGTGCCAGACAGGGTAACAACAAGTACCATCTTTTAACGTCTTTTGGTATGACGTGGCCGGGGATCGAACCCCAGACCTTTCGCTCTCCGGGCAGACGCTCTACCATTAGACCACGGGGGCGGTCTAATAAGAAAGGCCAACTGAAAGTCGTTTGTCATAATGATCAAGCCTGATCTAATTGTGTATCCCATATCCATTCTATAACATCTTCCGTAAGGCTTATACAAAGGGAAGCCACTCCCATCTAGAGTATAAAGATTTGCTGCCCTTGAGATATCCAAAAGGTCATTGACGTTACTAATTGATTGCAGACAGGTTTTTATCCTTCTCTTGATTAGCGAAAAGGTATGTTGTTTCACACTTCTTTCAGCATTGAGTTGGGTGTGAATAGTACTTTTAGCTATCAACTCGATAGTTATGTGGTTAACTATCACAATTAACAATATTCCTGACGTTAAATCGTTGGGCAGTTCTTTGGGTTGATGAAGTGTCAATTCAGATCATAAAGTTTAACAAAATAAAGAGGCAATGTTTGAACATAATGCAGATTATTTATGTGAAATAGACCCTGTCTTGCATGCAAATTTGATAAGTTTACTCAGGGACTACAACGAACTTAGATACTTGAGATTGGTCCAGACCAATTGTAGGTTTGTAAGTTTCCAAACTGAGTAAGCATATTGAGATTTAAAAAAAAGATGAAATAAAGTTTCAGATGTATATAACGGTTCTAAATACAGGCTTGACTCTGGAAATTAGCTCTGTTGTACGCATGCTGAAAAAGCTTCATTGGGTATTTACGAGTGCTGTTTTCAAACAATTTAGTTTTTCATTTAATGCATGCGTTTCTGTACGCAAGTTAATTGAAAGTAATTTGGTTTTGAATAGTTTTTGGGGTATTTTACGCAAATACGCAGCTAGCTGTAGCTCTGTACATAAGATTATTTATACACAAAATGCAATTTTGTAAAATGAAACTTGCACTTTTTGTAAATCTTCAAGTGAAAGTATATTCCATGTTTATATTGAATGTGATGCTACTAATGGTTTCTGGAGAGAACCGGAACAACGACTGAACCAGTTCCTTCGAGATATGCTTCATGTTACTGCATTTGCCATTCTGTTTGGTTTTCAAGAAAATATGAAATGACATAATTACATATTACTGTTAGCAACAAACATACTCATATATCAAGTATTAAAAGTGTAAAACCACTGTTGAACGCTTCATGTGGTATCTATGGTCTGTATGCAAAGTAAAAACATCTATTGCAATGATAAGAAACAGATATCTTAATTACCTACAGAAATGGAAACCACTTGCAGATAACATTTTGTAATATATCAAAAGTATTCATTTCATTTCCATTTTAAAAACAACTTTCAATATTCTGCGTCTCGAACACTGTGAAATGCTACAATACTTAAGAACAACATGATTTCACCAAAATTATTGTAAACGAAAATGTGGTTACATACCAGCTTGAACAACAAACAACAAAAGAGCACCCATCCCCCCCGCACATCATTTTCAAAGGCCATTGCCTGAGAAACAATTCTTTTATTTTTTTAAGCCTTAATGTGTGTCATTTGTCATGTAGCCTAATCTAATGTCTGTTGTTCATTTCAAGCTGTTTTGTTTGTCAAAAAAATGTACATGTATCATCCACTGAATATAAAAGATATCATATTAGTCTTGGGAAATAATATAAAAAAGAAGGAAACAAAAAGAAACATAATTGGGGCGAGCTGGGATTCGGATCCACAATCATGGGTTTCTTGCAGTCCAAGGGAGGCAACTCTGCACAGCTACTTAGCCATTCATGCGCCCCCCCCCCCCCCCCCCCCCCCCCCGCGCTATCTGTTTTTGTTGAAATTTACCCTACAGTCCAACTGTATACTGCCTCAATGGAATCACGCCTGTTGATAGTTTACTTAAACAGATGGCAAAAAAAATAACTTCAACAATATAAAAGATAAAAAATAAAACTCCTCACACTTCTGAAACAAATAAAGAATGAAAGTCTAATATTAAATAACTTACCATGGCCTCTAGGGCTGGGACGGGTAACTCAGGTACTCATGTCGGGTGGGTCCTGAGAAGAACCTGGGTACCCACAGGACTACCCGGACCCGTGGTTACATAGATAGATAGATACATGTATCTAAACAGCTTTGGCCAAGGCTGCGGTAAAACAATTCCAAAACGGGCATTTTGTACCCAGCTCTTGAGACCTACAGTGGGTACCTGGGTAGGGTGGGGAAATAGGGGGTCGGGTACCAATTTTTTTAAGCCCTAATGGCCTCACAAAACATAACACTAATGCTAATACCGTATTCGACATAATAAGCGCCCACGGCGATATTTGCTAATATATTGGCTAGTGAACAATCCCAATAAGCACCCCTTCGGGTTGATAAATGTACATAAGACTTATTTAATCATGCATAATACGTTTGTTATATGCACCCTTAATTATGGGAAATTAAATTCTGGAAAATTATATCTGTCGTATATATAAACATTTCAGGCTGTCAGCATAAACCACGAAATTTACGATCTTTCAACTCTGTTGTTTTCCACCAAAATAATATTCTTATAAGAACCCCCTATTTCTAATTTTGAGAACGCCCTGGGCGCTTATTATGTCGAATACTGTAAAACTACTCTCATGCCAATAACACTTACAGCATTTCCCTTTGTGAGGCTGAGGTTGAGAGCTCTGGCAGGTTTAGCATTAAACGCTGAAGCCAGGGGTGACCATTTGGACACCCACCTTCGTCCCCACCCCTGGGACAACTGACCCAGCTTGGTGTACAGGGGTCTCATTCCTACAGCCATTTCATTTCTGGCATCTTACAGTTGGTGATGACAAATCTGAAAAAGCAAACATATACAATTGAACAAACAGATGTGACCAAGTTGAGTTTAGAATCTCAGCCAGTGTAACTATTATTAGAGTGAGTTGGACTTTAGGCCACTTTTAGCAATATTCCAGCAATATCACAGCAAGGACACCAGAAATGTGCTTCACACATTGTAACTATGTGGGGAATCGCTCGCTGACTTGGTTGATGCATATCATCATATCCCAATTGCATAGATCGATGCTCATGATGTCAATCACTGAATTGTCTGGTCCATACTCGATTATCCACAGATCGCCATCATATAGCTGGAGTATTGCTGAGTGAGGCATTAAACAACAAACAAACAAACATCTTAAGGTTATTCTATTCTGCATTTACATTTCTTCTGTAAAAATGTTCACAAATCTCAGCCAATGCTTTTATATATTAAAGATTTATCAGCGTAAATGTTCTTTGTTTCAATTCATCAATAGTTTATCTTTCAGCTTGTTAGCTTTATCCAAACATGAGTAAATTCTTAAAAAATGTGAACTTTGAATACAGATTCAAGATTCAAAAAAAGATTTGGTGCTGTTTTCGTGGGGTCCACCATCATCATTTCTAAAATTCTACTGGTTTTTGGATTCAATCTGGAATCCTTATTCAGTGTTCAATGTCAATGAAATAGAGTATTTGAACATTTGGAGGTATACTCTCTTCTATTCATGTGTGTGTGTGTGTGGGGGGGGGGGGGGCAAGTCAGGGTAGCCTAGTGGTTAAAGCGGTTGCTCGTCACGGCGAAGACCCGGGGTTCGATTCCCAACATGGGTACAATGTGTGAAGCCCATTTCTGGTGTCCCCCGCCATGATATTGCTGGAATATTGCTAAAAGCGGCGTAAAACCATACTCACTCACTCACTCACTATTCATGTGGGTGGTCAGAGGAAATCAGGGGATGGTCACAAAAACCATGACAGTCTGATAAAAAAGGGTCATGAATAAGTTCAGTGTTCCCGCTGGCTTTTGAAACTGCCAGTCCTTGTGGACTGGCAACTCTAAAAATTACCAGTCCCCCGTAATTACTGCCAGTCCCAACTTTCAACAAATATAAAAACGTATCAAACTTATTTGGTTTTAATTCTTTCAACTTCATGTTCAGTGCAAAGATGTCATCTCTGAAGTAACTTAGTTAGATCTCTACGTCATTCACACAAACTACAGTCACAATTTTCTCTTTGTTTTTTTAATATTTCGAGACGAAGTCGCTACAAATGGATATTTAACCTAGAAATAGACAAGGGGAAACACTGATGATGACAGACAAGCTGACTTGGTTCGAAAAATGTACTTATATGAATATCACTGATGTTTTGTTCAACAACAAAGACTTATAAGTACTTTATTTGCTGGTCCACAGGGACTGGCAGTCACATGAATTACCAGTCCAAGCCTACTTTTACCGGTAAAAAATTGGTAAATACCGGTAAACGGGAACACTGAAGTTATCATTAAATAATAAGATACAAACTATTTTGGCCTTTAGTCTTTTTAAGAAGGGTCATGAAAAAAATATAACATAGGGAGGGTCATCCAAATAAGATGACTAGCATATCATGGGGGTGGTCATTATTTTCTGTACTTTTGTGCATCTTATTTATAGGGAACACCTGGCTAAGTGGGAAGAAAGAGATTGGTATGTAGATTTTCGCTTTTTTAATGCCTTGAAGCCAATCACAGATGAAGAGGTGCTCCTCATTAACCAACATTTCTGATGGGAAGACCTGTACCCCAATAGACCTATTGTGGTTCCTACATATTAGGGCTGGGACGAGTCCAAATCTACTACCCGGGTACCCAAACCCCTATTACCCAATACCAGATACCCGATGTAGGGTGTATGTAAATTCATAACCCAAACGAATTCATACCCCTAGGAATGAGAAATTTCGTACCCCAAACAGAAAGTAATTTTGGAACCCTGTGCACTAAGCAATGAATTACGCTATATATAATATTAATTTAGATTTAACATGTAATTTAAATGGACTGCTCCACCGTGACATCACACAACTCGATATGGCAAGAGATGTCATCTTGTACACATAGCAACATGATAGTTTCTTAAACAACATTTTCTAGCGATGAGAACAAAAAGAAAAAACAGCAGATAGTGTTGGGTACAGGCCGTAACAGGGTACTCATAGCCATGCACAGCATTGACTTTTAATACAGTGTTCCCATTTGCCGGTAAATACTAGTTTTTTACCGTTAAAACTGGGCTTGGACCGGTAATTCATGTGACTGCCAGTCCCTGTGGACTGGCAAATAGAGTACCTAATAAATCTTTGTTGTTGAACAAAACATTGGTGATATTCATATACCGAGGTAAGTATATTTTTCAAATGAAGTCAGCTTGTCTGTTACCTTCAGGGTTTCCCCTTGTCTATTTTTAGTGCAAGGAAATAACATTTTGCTTTGGTTCGAGGTTAAATAGAGAAACTTGTGAAATGTGTGAATGACATGTAGATCTAACTAAGTTACTTCAGAGATAATGTCATGGTGAATGAATTAAAACCAGATAATTTTTATACGTTTTTTTAATTTTTGAAAGTTGGGACTGAAAAAAAATGAGGAGGGGACTGGTAATTTTTAGTGTTGCCAGTCCACCAGGACTGGCAGTTTCAAAAGCCGGCGGGAACACTGTAATAGACTATTCCATATTTGGAGTTATTTTGCAATTCATCGTTCTCATTTGAATCCAAACGGACTAGACACTATGAACATCAAAATTGGCAGACAGAACACACTGGTGCAGGCTAAAACGGCACCTTTGCCAAACGTCACCGATTTCGCAGGCGAAAACGGCATCTCATTTGGCAGAAACACCTATTAATTGTCAGGTGAAAACAGCACCTTTATTTTTAACAATGATAAGAAAGATTTATGGAGTAGTATATATGCTTTATTGACATGCTTTATTTCGTTGTGTTGTAGTATATGTTTTCCTTGAGCGGGGACACGGTCTGTTATCCGGAAAAACATTCTTGTGATGTCGGCTGCCAGCAGAAAGGGGAGATATATATCAAATATATATATCAAATATATCTATAAAATTACTATTTATTTCCAACTTACTAAAATCAATATTAAATATATAGTATACCTGTAGTCCAATTTCTTGACATTTCCACCATAATCAGTTTCAGTTTGACATTGAGTTAATTTGGGTAAAAGAACTTAAAACTTCAAAGCATGTAATGTTTCAACGATAAGTTTTGTTGCACCTCCCAATCAGAGTCGGTGAGTAAACTGGAGTAGCCTAGAGGCTAATTTCTAATGTAAACTTGTTTTAAGGTGATTAACATTTCACAATTATTTGTTTGCAATTGACCATGTACGTGAGTTAAATTTCATATATTTTACTTCAAAGCATGTAATGTTTTCTCAATAAGTTTAGTTGCGCCTCCAAATCAGAGTTGGCGAGTAGAGGCTAGTTTCTAATGTAAACTTTTGTTCAACAAATCATAATTATTTGTGTTTGAAACTGACCATGTGAGTTTAATTTCATGTATTTGAGTTCCAAGGTAAAAAAAATAATAAGGTGCCGTTTTCGCCTGGCAATAGTAGCCGTTATCGCTTTAGGCGAGGTGACGTTTTCGCCAATCGGTGCCGTTTTGCTGGGGTGCCGTTTTAGCTATAACCCGAACAAACACTGGACCCAAGCAGACGTATCATGCCTCCAAATGAATGGCATTGCTTAGGTTTAGCGTGACACTGAAACATTCACACGTGGATAGATATAATCCTACCTTTGAATGCTGACATTGGCCAGATTTACGAAATAAACTTGACAGATCAACTGTCTTTTTTGATACATATAATTTGTAAACAAACGTAGGAAAGAAAACGGAAGTCATGCGCCTAGATCTTCATCTCGTAAAGTCTCTAGAAGTAACGTTGATTCTCGTCATAAGCAAGTGTCATGGCGGCTGCTAGGTTGCCTCCGCATGTTCTAGAGACGTTGTTTTCTTATTTGGACATATCCGATCTTAGAAATTGCTCTCTTGTATGTAAAAACTGGTATAAATTTTTAAACGACGAAAATAACGATGTATGGAGGTTACACTGTGTGAGAAAATTAGCAGAAGAGGCCTTGAAATCGGATTTGTTGAGTAATGTTCCAACTTACAAAGCCAAATTACGTGCGTTTTATCACTCCTGGAATCCAAACGACTGCTCAAGAAACATATATGTGAAGCCAAATGGATTTACAATTCATCGCAACCCAGTTGCACAAAGCACAGATGCCGCAAGGGGCAAGATCGGCTTCAGGACAGGTCGACATTGTTGGGAGGTTTGGTGGGAAGGGCCACTCGGAACTGTGGCAGTTATTGGTCTTGCCACCCAAAACTCTTCCATGCAAGTTCAAGGATATGTGTCGCTAGTAGGAAATGATGATCAAAGTTGGGGATGGAATCTTGTAGATAATCATTTAATACATAATGGAGACAGCCAAGGCAATTATCCTCTATTGAACAATGCACCTAAATATCAGGTATGGGTTGGACTTCTTTCAAGTTTCATTCATAAGTGCCAAATGTTTAACAGTTACCAATGTTTGTGTCACTTAAAGTATATATTGCAGCATTGATCGTGTAGGAATATATTTGGGATTGGCTATATATTGTTGTTGTTTTGTATCTAGTGTATGGTGGAGATGATGAAATTACAACTGTGTCGATGACCTCGTTAAACACTTCCTGCAACATGCTGAGGGACTGCATAATGCCTGTCACACGTGACTTTCATTCATAACAGATTCTTTCACTGAGGAATGTTTGCATGGGCCATGCAAGCAAAGTAGGCCAGTCATCAAATAATTAGTGATTGCCAGCATGGATAGAAATGATATCTTATGACATGTTTTGTGAAAATAATGATGATTCAAACAGTGTAAAAAGAGTGGGCATGTCAGCAGGGTAAATATACTGTCTTATTGTAGTTTTATGAGACAACCATATTTCAACTTCATATGTATGATTGTATCGAGGAACAGGCATGCAACTTGTTCTGTTGGTGATATTTCACTGCTTTCTGAGTACAATTGCATTTGTTTTTTATTATCAGATTATATTAATCGTTAAATGTGTCATAACTGTTACCAGTACAGCTGTATGGAGTTCAATAAGTACATTTTTTTAAGGAAAATATATGATCAGTGTTAAGGATCACTGCTTCCACTAGGATTTGCTAAACAACTGCAAAATACAAATATTTAGATTTTTTCACATCTTAAGCATGTCAAGGTGTAAATATTCAACAAAATGTAATCTTTACGTTCTCTGAAAGATAACCAGAATAAAACGCTTGATGTTATCCTGTAAAGATTTTCAAAGAGTGAGGAAGTTTTGTCATAACACTGCCTGATAACCACTGTTCAAAGCTATATATGCAAAATCTGATTGCATGTTATTCTTGAATCAGCAAGTTAGCCTGGCCAGGGTCAATGAAGAATTCCACAGAAAGACAGTGTAAGTTAGGCATGTTACCGGTAAGCATGGTAAGAAGCACAACTGCAATAATTAAGTATTGATGGGTCACTTGGACATAATGTGTCACCTCTGGTACTTGTCGGTTACAGCTCTAAAAACTATGAAAGTGCTAAGTCATTCTGATTCAGATAATTGTCCCAGAGGTTAAGATTACTTACTACCTGAATGGCATATCTTATACGTATATATATATTATCTTCATACATAACAGTCTTCGAAATTAATCATGACAGTCCGGGGATCTACTTAATAAAGCTAATGTTAAACATCTAAGGAATCCCTACATTTATGTACCACATGGGTAAACATCAACTTGCTTAAGAACTCAAGGGGGCATGGTGGCCTAGTTGCCTAAGGTGCCAAAATTCTCTGTGAAGAGTTGCCTCCCTTAGCATGCTAAGGCACACCAAAACCTATGATTATGGGTTCAAATCCTGGTTCACCAAAATTATGCCACTTGTCTCCTGACAATATTTTTTAAGGTGCCATTTCAAACTTTAAGGAGCCACTTTGAATTTGGCTTACAAAGAATTTATTATTTTAGAAATAAGATGAGAAAATATTCCAATTGTTCTAATGTGTCTGCACAAGAAACTTTGAAACTAAGCATGCTAAGTGGAACTGTGCAGTGTTACTGGAAAGGTACAATACATTTTTAAACAATATGTAGCGAAATATTTATTTGTATGTCGGGAAAATTGGGTAAAAAAATATAACAAGTTATATTATTATTTTTATCGTTAAACCTACAAATGAGACATAAATTCAATCACAAATGCTGTTTTCGTTCCAAATTTATTGACAAAACAGCAGAAATGTGGAAGTGTTTTTTCTCTCTCATTATCTAGCCATTGTCCATGACAACAAAATAACGGCAACTAACAATGCTGACTTGGACATCGTAATTTTTACTTTGATATACATGGTATACAAATAGGAGGGGCGGTCGGGTAGCCTAATTGTTAAAGCTTTCGCTCGTCAAGCCGAAGACCCGGGTTCGATTCCTGACATGGGTACAATGTGTGAAGCCCATTTCTGGTGTCCCCCGCCGTGATATTGCTGGAATATTGCTAAAAGCGGCGTAAAACCATACTTACTCACTCACTCACTCACAAATAGGATGTGCTTGTCAGTCACTGTCAAACACTTGAGCTCCCATTAGTATCGCAGTATGTATCATGATACAGGTACCTGTATGACAGTGTATTAAAATATAATATTTGGGCCAGTACACAACCCTAGGGCTAATAGCACAGAGACCCAGCCTGGAAGTGGTCGCCACTCAGTGAGTCTTAGCCCAGTTAAGATCATATCGTCATTTAGGCGTTAGGTGATATGTGTACGACAATCCATCTGTGTCGTTTTGAACTAATAGGATTACCACGATTACTGGACGTTATTGATTATCATGATTATGCGAGTGGTACTTATCAACAGGATTGTTCCGCTTCGTATGGTGCATCCCCATTGTACACCTGCAGAAGTGCCAGTCGGTAGCATTAGAAGAACACACTGTACTTCACAATATATCTGTTATGTAAATCTCCAGTATTGTTCAAGTGGACAAAAAGGTCAGAAGGTGAATTCAATAATTGTGTCAGAACTAAGACGAAACGCAAGTGATTTTGCACATGTTGCAAGGATTTTAAGTTACGTTCTCTTGGGGCACACACTGTAGGAGAGCACATCATTTTGTCAAGAATTTAGAATTTTTATAGCCTGTTTATTCAGCTATATGTGACACTGCATTTTAATGCATTAATGGAAGACTGTGTTTTGTGGCCTTAAACAGTTATAGATATTATACAAATAATAACAAATTGGTGAAATTGTAATTTCCTAATCAAGTGTTTTATCAAAATTTGCTGTATTTTTTGGGTCTGATGTCTACCTTTGAGAAGAAATTCTAAAATATTGTATTTGCTGTTCAAGTGGTCTGGAATAGGTCTTCAGCATGTTCAGTAACCCATGCTTGTCGTAAGAGGCGACTAACGGGATCGGTGGTCAGGTTCGATGACTTGGTTGCTGCATGTCATTGGATCCCAATTGCGTGGATTGATGCTCATGATGTCAGTCACTCGATTGTCTGGTCCAGGCTCAATTATTTACAGACCGTCGTCATATAGCTGGAATATTGCTGAGTACTGTGTTAAACAACGAACAATCAATGACCTAGAGAGACCTAGAGAGAGTACAGATCATGGTTTTCACTGTCGGTTCACCATGAATTAGGGCGGTTGTATAGCTCAGTGGTTAAATCCTGCCCGTCGCTCCGAAGACTAGGGCAAGCTCCCCAAGAAGGGTACAATGTGTGAAGCCCATCTCTGGTGTCCCCCACAGTGATGTTGCTAGAATATTGCTAAAAGCAACATATAACCATACTCACCCTAAATTACATGTATGCCCCTTTGAAGATTCTGTTTTGACTTGGTCTTCAGCAACCCATGTTTGTAAAACGATAACAGGATCTGGAGGTCAGGCTCACTGACTTGGTTGATGCATATCATCGTATCCCAAATGCATGGATTGATGTTCATGAAGTCAATCACTGGATTGTCTGGTCCAGACTAAAATATTTACAGACTGCCATCATATAGCTGGAATACTGCTGAGTTTGGCATTAAACGATAAGCAAACTTGATGAAACTTAGAAGTCTATGGAAACAACATCTTTATTTTGTGACGGTAACAACTCGGCCAATATTTTATTTGAACGTAGCGTTTTGGAAACCAGAATTTACTTGAGGGAATAACGTTATTGAGTGAAGGATCCAAGCTTCCATTTTATATGTGTGACTCATCAATTATTGCAGAGGACAATGGTGATTTGTATTCGTGTTCGTGTCCTGATACCAAAACAACTCTCTTAGACTGCTGTTGTCATTAATAATCAATGCATACTACTGCTTAACCATGTTGACACAGCATACCGTATTCAACGTAATAAGCGCCCCGGGCGCTCTCACAATTAGAAATAGGGGGCGCTTATTAGAATATTATTTTGAGTTGAAAGATCGTAAATTTCGTGGTTTATGCTAACAGCCTGAAGTGTTATGAATAAAAAAAGTCTTGTGTACATTGATCAATCGGAAGGGGTGCTGATTGGGATTGTTTACTAGCCAATATATTAGGAAATATTGCCGTGGGCGCTTATTGGAGCGGGGCGCTTATTACGTCGAATACGGTATTATTCTTTTACTGGGAGTGACCCTGCAAAAGTAACCGCACAGTTTTCCATAGATCTGGGAGAATGGGCTGATGGACTGAATGGTAGAAATGGGATATGTATCTTGTGTTGTAATGGCAACATGGATGAAACATGGCCCTAAACCAATCTTACTTCACTCTTTCCCTTGAGATCGGGGGTGGTCGGGTAGCCTAGTGGTTAAAGTGTTCGCTCATCACGCCGAAGACCCAGTATCGAATCCCGACATGGGTACAATGTGTGAAGCCCATTTCTGGTGTCCCCCGCCGTGATATTGCTGGAATATTGCTAAAAGCGGCGTAAAACCAAACTCACTCACTCACTCACTCCTTGAGATCGAAGTTGTCATGGTTTAAAATCAGCTTCAGTAAAAGTTCACTGGAGATCAAAGTTGTCATGGATTAAAATCATCTTCAGTAAATTGTCACTGGAGATCGAAATTGTCATGGTTTAAAATCAGCTTCAGTAAAATGTCACTGGAGATCGAAGTTGTCATGGCTTAAAATCAGCTTCCATAAAATGTCACTGGAGATCGAAATTGTCATGGTTTAAAATCAGCTTCAGTAAAATGTCACCAGAGATCGAAGTTGTCAAGGTTTAAAATCAGCTTCAGCAAAATGTCCCTGGAGATCGAAGTTGTCACGGTTTAAAATCAGCTTCAGCAAAATGTCCCTGGAGATCGAAGTTGTCATGGATTAAAATCAGCTTCAGTAAATTGTCACTGGAGATCGAAGTTGTCATGGCTTAAAATCAGCTTCCATAAAATGTCACTGGAGATCGAAATTGTCATGGTTTAAAATCAGCTTCAGTAAAATGTCACCAGAGATCGAAGTTGTCACGGTTTAAAATCAGCTTCAGTAAAATGTCCCTGGAGATCGAAGTTGTCACGGTTTAAAATCAGCTTCAGTAAAATGTCCATGGAGATCGAAGTTGTCACGGTTTGAAATCAGCTTTAGTAAAATGTCAATGGAGATCGAAGTTGTACAAAATGTTTCGCTTTCCAAGTTGGATAAAAGTTAAAACACTTATCCTCAGGTTTGATGCCCCTTCTTTTTATTCCTTGGATTCATGTTTTAAATCTTATTAAACCCTCTGACATGTTTTATCCTATCCGTAAAACCCCATATCACCTCACCTCACCTCACCTCACCTCACCTCACCTCACCTCACCTCACCTCTTCACTGAGATTGACGTCACGCCAAAGACCCGGGTTCGATTTCCCACATGGGTACAATGTGTGAAGCCCATTTATGGTGATATTGCTGGAATATTGCTAAAAGCGGCATAAAACCATACTCACTCACCCACTCACTGAGATGTTTACTTGACTCATACTGTGCGTTAAGGGACTGGTCATTTATTATCTATTGAGTATAGGGGGAGCTGGTGAGAATATGGGAGGGACAAAAATTACTATGCTGGGGCTGGAGGAATATTGCATAAAAATGGGGGATGGGCCAGCAAAATATTAGGGGTGACTATTAGTCTGGAAATCACTATTTTGATAACTATTGATATTGAAAGAAACTATTGCGATAAATATCGATATTTTTCAGTGCATCATTTAGGTGGATTTTAGAGTTGAATTAAACCTTGGAACTGAAGTTTCCTTTGAATGTGATGACCATAAGACTTCCAAACACTCAATTTTCAACCTAAGTTTTTCACAAACTCTACTTGACTGTCACCCTCCGCCATTTTACTTGAAGAAAGACTGGTTGCTAAGCATCAAGGGCAGTTAACTCTAATCCTCACTCGGCTGTGGTCGCGAGTGTGTTTCGGTGACTCAATCGCATTATATGGTAAATACAATCGAAACTATTGATATTCCTAACTGAAATCAATACTATTGATATTCCTAACTGAAATCGATACTATTGATCGGAAACTGATTTAACAATCGATTTATTGACCTTAAGTGCTTAACAATAGCAATATACCGATATTTCGATTTATCATGACACCCCTACAAAATATACAGTCTGATGATCAATCCCACAACCCCCATTCTGTGATCAATGAGCTGTCCCTACAAACGGGGAACCCATCTTGAGCCTGAGACTCTTCCTGGGGCAAGGGCGTTAACTGACTATAAAAGTCGAATTTCCACCCTTGACGAACTAGGCTGGAATTCAGGAGTTACATTTTGGCTGGTCTAACGTGTCTATGTATAGTCAAGTCAAAATCACTTAACAAACTACATGGATTTCAACGTGCAGATTTCAGTCGAGTGCATGATTTGCAAAGCATGTGTACAGCCAACTGGATGTTGACAGATATTTTGCAAATCTTTTAATATTTTTAATCAAGGTGCTCAAGTGGTGCACTTCACGGGTTAAAACCCATTTTATTACAATATAGTACATACCCATGAAGATCCCGGGTTAGAATAGGTCTTCAGCAACCCATGCTTGTTGTGAGATCAGGTGGTCAGACTTAGTGACTTGGTTGATGCATTTTATCGTATCCCATATATCGTATTGCATAGATTGAGGCTCTGATGTCCATCACTGGAAAGAATTCAATATTAAAGATCATGGTAATTTTGCTGGAATATTGCTGAGTGCGGCGTTAACAACAAACAAACAAAAGCTGTGTTCACATATTTCTTTACAGATGTTTGTTTACTAACCGAGTGCAAGTATCACACACATGAACTCTACTGCAGTGAATAACGCATACACAAGGCTCTTCAACTCACTTATTGTTAATTAGACATATATTGCACTGTTGTGAATCTATGAGACACTCGGGACAGCTCGCAAACAGATACAAATTAGATTTGTTCGTTTGTTTGTTGTTTAACACATACTCAGTAATATTCCAGCTATATGACGTCAGTCTGTAAATAATCGAGTCTTGACGAGACAATCCAGTGATTGACATCATGAGCATCAATCCCAGCAATTGGGTGAGCGAGCCTGACCACCCGATCCCGTTAGTCATCTCTTACAACAAGCATAGTCACCTTTAATGGCAAGCATGGGTTGCTGAAGGCCTATTCTACCCCGGATCTTCATGGGTCGATACAAATTACAAGTCACCTGAAACAGCATTTCAAGTAGAAATAGTTTTCAAAAATGTCTACTCGGTATATAATTACCCTATAGACTAGACCCAAGGAGTAAAAACTTATTAAATACCCAAAGAAAACCCAATGTGAATGATAACTTTGGAGTAAATACTCAATGGCTAAAAAGTGATCTTTACCCCCAAAAGGAATTTGTTTACAAAATATACCGCAGTGTGCCTATCTGACCCCAGGAACAGTTAACTGCTTTTGGCACTCTTAGAACAAATAATTTCGAAATATGAAGGGTAAATATGGTTTCTTCAGGTAGATATTTCTGGCCCCTTCCTAGCCAGGTCTGTGGATGACTGCTGAGGAGGAGGCTATGGAGAGATCATTTAGAGTAGTTGCATGGGGGAAACAGTTCTGAAATCAGTTATGCATGAAGAAAGTTCTCCTGCATCTGTTAACATGGTTAAGCAGGTGGTTTACTGTTATACCACTCCTCTGGTGAATTGTATGAGGTAGCTATGTCATCAGTTCTTGTGGCCTGGCCTTGAAGGGCTGGGGTCGAGAGTGTTGTTGCTGATGTGATTAGCGACAAATACTGGGGTAATATTATCAAATTTCTGTGGTAAAATGAACAAACTTCTGCAGCTTATATTACAAACTTCTCACTAAAAATAAACCTTCCCTTCTATTGTTTTCCTTACAAATTTTATTCTCTTGCATTTAGACATACCTACCCAGGACCTAAAAGGGCAGGGGTATTCCGTCCCTCTGTCCGTCCTTTCGAGATCCATGAAGATCCGGGGTAGAATAGAACTTCAGCAACCCATGCTTGTCGTAAGAGGCAACTTACGGGATTGGGTGGTCAGGCTCGCTGAGATGGTTGATGCATGTCATCGATCCCAATTGTGTGGATCGATGCTCATGATATTAATCACTGGATTGTCTGGTCCAGCCTTGATTATTTACAGACCGCCGTCATATAGCTGAATATTGCTGAATGCAGCGTCAAACAAATCAACCAACCATCCTTTCGAAGACATTTTTTGTGCAACCTGTAATCAGGTATGTGAAAACTCCCGCCAAAGGCACTTAATTTACAAGATAAATCACTGGGTATTTATTGCTTTTTATATGCTAGTCCCCTCAGACTCCCAGGAACTTCCAGTGTCATGCCAGGAATACCAAAAAGGTTTCACTGGAACCAGATAGACTTCGAAAAGCAGGGTTAGAAACAAACAGTTTTTGTCCACTATGCCTTATAATGATAACATACAGCAAAACCCTTAAAATAGGGTTTCTACTAGTCCTTAGGATACCTTTACTATTGGGCAGTTTGGTAAGGACTACGGGACTAGTGCCAATTTCTAAAGCTGGACAAGTGGTTCCATTGCTGACCCCAATCATTTGCTCTTCAAATCATGAATAAGTACAAATATCTTTTGTATTTTTTCAGGTTGGTGAGAGGATACGAGTGATTTTAGACTGTGAAGACAATACGTTAGCTTTTGAAAAAAATTATGAATTTTTAGGTGAGTACCTTTTTAGATCTTGTGAATATAACAATTATCACCTTACTGAACACAACTTACTCACCCACTGTTAGTCATGCCAGGAAACTGAACTTAACTCACTCACCCATCCTCAGTCATGCCAGGAAACTGAACACAACTTACTCACCCGCTGTTAGTCATGCCAGGAAACTAAACACAACTCACCCACTGTTAGTCATGCCAGGAAACTGAACACAACTCACCCACTGTTAGTCACTCCAGGAAACTGAACACAACTCACTCACCCACTGTTAGTCATGCCAGGATCTACTGAATACAACTCACTCACCCGCTGTTAGTCATGCCAGGATCTACTGAATACAACTCACTCACCCGCTGTTAGTCATGCCAGGATCTACTGAACATAACTCACTCACCCACTGTTAGTCATGCCAGGATCTACTGAACACAACTCACTCACCCATCCTTAGTCATGCCAGGATCTACTGAACACAACTCACTCAACCATACTTAGTCATGCCAGATTCTACTGAACACAACTCAACCATACTTAGTCATGCAAGGATCTACTGAACACAACTCACTCACCCGCTGTTAGTCATGCCAGGAAATACTGAACACAACTCACTCACCCGCTGTTAGTCATGCCAGGAAATACTGAACACAACTCACCCATACTTAGTCATGCCAGTATCTACTGAACACAAATCACTCACCCGCTGTTAGTCATACCAGGATCTACTGAACACAACTCACCCATACTTAGTCATGCCAGGATCTACTGAACACAAATCACTCACCCGCTGTTAGTCATGCTAGGATCTACTGAACACAACTCACTCAACCTCTGTTAGTCATGCCAGGATCTACTGAACACAACTCACTCACCCGCTGTTAGTCATGCCAGGATCTACTGAATACAACTCACTTACCCGCTGTTAGTCATGCCAGTATCTACTGAACACAACTCACTCACCCGCTGTTAGTCATGCCAGGATCTACTGAACACAAATCACTCACCCACTGTTAGTCATGCCAGGATCTACTGAACACAACTCACTCACCCGCTGTTAGTCATGCCAGGATCTACTGAACACAAATCACTCACCCACTGTTAGTCATGCCAGGATCTACTGAACACAACTCACTCACCCGCTGTTAGTCATGCCAGAATCTACTGAACACAACTCATCCATCCTAAGTCATGCCAGGATCTACTGAATACAACTCACTTACCCGCTGTTAGTCATGCCAGGATCTACTGAACACAACTCATCCATGCTTAGTCATGCCAGGATCTACTGAACACAACTCACTCACCCATCCTTAGTCATGCAAGGATCTACTGAACACAACTCACTCACCCATCCTTAGTCATGCCAGGATCTACTGAACACAACTCACTCACCCGCTGTTAGTCATGCCAGGATCTACTGAACGCGACTCACTCACCCATCCTAAGTCATGCCAGGATCTACTGAACACAACTCACTCACCCATCCTTAGTCATGCCAGGATCTACTGAACACAACTCACTCACCCATCCTTAGTCATGCCAGATTCTACTGAACACAACTCATCCATGCTTAGTCATGCCAGGATCTACTGAACACAACTCACTCACCCGCTGTTAGTCATGCCAGGATCTACTGAATACAACTCACGCACACGCTGTTAGTCATGCCAGGATCTACTGAACGCGACTCACTCACCCATCCTAAGTCATGCCAGGATCTACTGAACACAACTCACTCACCCGCTGTTAGTCATGCCAGGATCTACTGAACACAACTCACTCATCTTTAGTCATGCCAGTATCTACTGAACACAACTCACATACCCGCTGTTAGTCATGCCAAGATCTACTGAACGCGACTCACTCACCCATCCTAAGTCATGCCAGGATCTACTGAACACAACTCACTCACCAATCCTTAGTCATGCCAGGATCTACTGAACACAACTCACCCATACTTAGTCATGCCAGGATCTACTGAACACAACTCACTCACCCGCTGTTAGTCATGCCAGGATCTACTGAACACAACTCACTCACCCATACTTACTCATGCCAGGATCTACTGAACAAAAGAGGCATTAATCCCATTTCACTCACAAATCCTTTTGCTGTCATTCTGCATATTTCCAGTTTTCAAAAGAAAAAGAAAAACAAATAAATACCTGTCAAACCTACTATATTTAGATGGCTGAAATAAGAAAGCCACATGTTTTCCCTAGAGGAATTGTTACACACCTTCTGATGACTGTCTTCTTGTTTCAGGAGTAGCTTTTCGTGGTTTACCAGACACACATCTTTACCCTTCTGTGTCGGCCGTGTATGGCAACACGGAAGTCTCAATGGTTTACCTTGGTCCACCGCTGGATGGCTGACGATGTGCTCGTGCTCCAAGGGGGGCCGTACAGACTCTGCAGATAGTGAATATTATAAACTGGGCACCATATGCCCTTAAATTCCATTCTTGTCAACTGATTGGCGATGGATGACAGTGTGCTTGCCAAGGAGCAGAAGAGAATGTGATCATCTTGTCATCAAGGGCTCATTTGGCCCTCAAAGTATCATTCTATTCACGTGACCGGCAACAAACTGTTTTTCGTCACAGCGCAGCAGACAGATGTTCACATCATCAAGGGATCAGACCGAAAATTCCATTTTTATCACGACTGGCAATCTGGTGTTGCCTGTGAAAGAGCTGTGCAGAGTCAAAAGCTGATTCTCAACTGACCAAAATAATTCCATAGTAACATCAGGGGGCACCTGCCAAATAGGCAGCAAAACTGTCTATGGTGATTGTCATGCCACATTTGACAAGCTCATATATTCCAGATGTGTCATTATGTGAGAATATTGTTCTTAGAAATGTTGTTGTCATGGCAACTGATTCTATAGATTCATTGTGGGAAATTTGTTCTTCTCTATGACTAAGTTACCTATGCTTTGACATCTGCTTCCATAGTAGTTCATGTCCAAATTCAGTGTCGGAAACTCATGTACATGCTGCAGCCATTGTCAGATTGTGTGCCCCAGTATTTAAATGGACGAAAAGTTGTTATTTCTAAAGAGTTACAAGTCCTGTTGAAATAATAAGTACCGGTATTCTGATTCAAACACTGGAAATTGAGTCTGTCTGAATGTTTCCAAATGCATTTTGTATAGAATCTATATATTTTTCAAAGCTGTTGTCAGAAAATACCCAAAATATTCCCTGAAACGTTGATCAACCATAGATGTATACATCAAAATGAACCAGGTGGACAGAGGGTCTGGCACCCTCGATGATCCAGGGTGTCATATGTCGATCATATATTTATGAAAAATACCCAAGACCCTTTCACTACCAAAGTTTCTTTTTAAATTGAATTACACTGTGCTTACAATAGACATACAATAATTTAAAACTAATGTTCAAGAGACAATCCAAAGGAAGTTACTGATATTAATCATAAGGGACCACTTGTGAATAGAGCATATGCCTGGATCTCAGAAGGACGGTGGTTTCATCCATGGCCGTGTCGTACCAAAGACGTTTAAAGTTGGTAGTTACCCTTCCTGGTGCTCGGCATTAAGGACACAGAACAAGGACTGATCACATCGGAGTCAGTATACTGTGTCTGAGTGGCGTATTCATGTTAAACAGTGAGCTAGAATTACAAAATCGGCAATAGTCGGGACTAGTACAAGCAGAGACACACACACGTGCATGCACGTCGCTATATATGCGTGTTATAATCTTGAATGAAACGGTTGACCCCATGTCACCTCGTCTCACTTTAATCAAAGGTGAGGTGAGGTGAAATGGGGTTTAATTTTACCATCAGAGAATAATCATCAATGACAGTAAAAAATTAATGAATCCTCTTAGATTTTATTGAAAAAAATAATTTTAGTCTGAAAACATTAGGCTGAAATACCAAGGCATGACTACTGAAGTTAAGCGAAGCACTCTGTGTCCCATAAAGACAGCACAGCTGGCGTAATGGTCTGAGGTGCCACAATTTGCTGTGCAGAGTTGCATCCCTTAGGTATACCAGATTCGCAGGGAATATTTTGGGGGTTGTCAGCGCCTAGGCCTAGCCGTGCTTGTGGGTTTCACCAAGGTGGTAAAGGTCTAAGACCTGCATCACCTGGGGTCTCCTCCCACCTCAAGCTGACATGCTGTGATATAACTGAAATACTGTTCAATGTGGCATTAAAACAAAGTCACTCTTTTGTCTCCGAAACCACAGAACTATTATCAATTCCTTGGTAGGATCCTAACCTATCGTTGTTCCAGTTGATTGGATCAACACTTGAGCAGATGACTTGAATTAATTTGAACATCATTTGTGTGATTTACCAGCCACAGTTACATAGATATTTGTGACAACCTGTGTAAACATTCATTCACTTGCCCTCCCAAATGTAAATATATATTTTTAGACTTGATCAGAAAGTGACACATAATAGCATAATATGCCATTTACAAGGAATGAGAGGAAAGAGGTATTAGTAGAATCATGGGCTCAATAGGGGGAAATGATAAACCTATTGGCTGGCCTTTTCACTGTATTTCTTGAATGTGTCAGAGTTGCCTCCCTTTGTTCAGCTGACATGAGGCCTGGTTTGTGAGCTGAATCTAAAAAGAAACTTTGGCCAGCTTTTGGAACTATTTCTGTCCATCTGTCACATGATACAACACAAAACAAATCTGCAGCCATGACCCTGATGTAAATCCTGATTTTTTTCATTTGTTTTGCCTTAAAGTTGACATCAAAATTCAGGAACTGGGAAAATATCCTTAAAGTCATTACTCATCAAGAGGGGGGTGGGATTTCAAGTCATCTCAGGCAACTCAATTTACAGAGTTGCATTCCTAAGTTATGCCAGGATTCACTGATTCTGGGTTCAACTCCAAGATTTGCCCTGAGTGTGATCCATTCTTTGTCAACAACATACCCATGCTCGTGATTTTTTGGAAAAGCCATAAACTTCACTCTATCCAACTGTATGAAGTTATCATTGTGTGATATAACTGAAATACTGTTCAAAGTTGCCCAAAACACAAGACCCTCTCTCAATAGACCATTACCAAAACATATTGACCAAAGAGCACCTGTGTGTTAAAACACATGATTGTATTAGTCTGTCAAAGTTGTGTTGAGGTTTTGTGATTTTGCTGTATGAATAAATGACATCATGCACCATATGTATGTGAAAATGCGAAAGACAGGAACAATGTTTGTGAAATATGCTGTTGGAAAGCTGGTAAAGGGAGATAACTTTCAATATGAGTAACCTCCCTTTGTGTACCTGCACTGGCATTGAAATCAATCAACAGTTTCAATAAAATAACTCAAGAGAAATCTATTGTTGAAACATCATCATTAATATCACAAAAGCAATAAAGGTTCCAAAAGAATGGCTTTCCAAAAGAATGCATATTAAGACATTGCAAAGAATAACTTAAAGCATGGGGGATATGATTGTACTGACAAATGTTTACAGTTGATGACAATGTTATTTCTAGTGTGTTTCTATGTTCTGAGCAGACCTGGTGATAAAGGTCTGTTCCTGTGTGATTTCTTCATTAAGAGGAGGTGTTCCAGTTACTATGGTTACAGTCTCTCAACATCAAAAAAAGTTGGAATAAGTTTGTTCCAGCAGAGATGACTATAAACAAGTTGATATGAATGCATTTGTTTGTGTGTCTAGATAGAAACGGGTAAGGTAGTCAGATCATAGGAAACTGTGTCCTTTGGATCAAAGACCTTCAGGGTTCTTTCCTCCGACTAAATGGGGATTCCGGGGTAAAACAAGATCCCCAGCAACCAATTCTTGATGTAAGAGATAACTTAATGGATCTGGTCTTCAGGCTGGTCTTCTCAGAAACCATTGGAAAATCATTTTTTATGAATGTACAGAGACTGTGTTTATGCTCCTTCTCTACTATGAAATTAGTATTCAAAATTGCTGTAAGCCGTCACCAGAAATAGGGTGTACGAAATCAGTGGAACTGTAAGTGTTAAAACATGCGAGTGAGGGGCCTATTCAAGTGAGTGGCTTCATCCTTAATGTAATTCTGGCCTACATTCTCTCCCATTTAGAACCATGAGTGGCATGAGGACATATTCATCATCTTAAGTAAAGATCCGGGGTAGAATAGGTCTTCAGCAACCCATGCTTGCCGTAAAAGGCGACTAACGGGATCGGGTGGTCAGACTCGCTGACTTGGTTGATGCCTAGCATTGATTCCAACTGCGTGGATCGATGTTCATGATGTCAATCACTGGATTGTCTGGTCCAGACTCGACCCCCGTCATATAGCTGGAATATTGCTGAGTGCGGAGTTAAACAACAAACAAACAAATAAGAGCTTTTCAGAAGACATTTCTCTGTCATTACCCAGAAAATTAACCAAAATCCTTTCCTCCATCCAAGAAAAGAAAGATGATGTTTGTGTTCCTTGTCAGTTATTGTAGAGGGTCAAGATGTGATGCGACTGTGGGGATTGGTGGTTGGAATTAGTTCCCAGGAACCTATGGTCTTCATAACAAGTGACTTCATGGATCAGGTAGTCAGCCTCTGTGACATGGTTGATAGCGATCATCGTGTCCCAACGGTGTGGGTCTCATTGCCCATAAAATCAATCACTGCATTGTCTGGTCCAGACTCAATTATTTACAGGCTGCGGTCATATTGCTGGAATATTGCTGAGTGCGGCTTTAAACATCAAATAATATGTGATGACTTATTGTGTGAAAAGATGTGCCTCGTGTCTGTGGATCAAATATTACATGTACCTGAATGACGGTCCTTGGTTGGCCAGCACCAGGCCTTGTAAGAAGTGAAATCTATGACCTACATCACCTTTAGTGTTACTCCCAACTGTACCTGACTATAGGATGTGAAGATGGGATAGGGTAGCCTAGTGGTTAAAGCGTTCACTCACCAGCCTGAAGGCCCAGGACTGACTCCCAACAATAATGTGGAACTCATGTCTGGTGTTCCTGGAATGATGGTGTGATGGAATGTTGCTAAAAGGAGAGTAAAACCCAACAGGCTCACTCACTAAATAAATAAATGAATAATGTGTAATAAAAGATGTGTTGACTCCTAAACTACTCAAGCAGTCCATAGTGATAATACCCATGTGAAACCTGTTCACATTTTAGTATGTTTAGACAAAATAATTGTCTCTTTATGCCCAGGGGGCGGTCGGGTAGCCCAGTGGTTAAAGCGTTCGCTCGTCACGCCGAAGACCCGGGTTCAATTCCTGACATGGGTACAATGTATGAAGCCCATTTCTGGTGTCCCCCACCGTGATATTGCTGGCATATTGCTAAAAGCGGTGTAAAACCATACTCACTCATTCACTTTATGCCCAGTGTAGGGCAGCGGGACTAAGGGTTGAAGTGTTGGGCTCCCATTGGGACCTGGGTTAGATTCCCCGGCATTTCAGTCGATAAATTGTTTGTCCATGTACCTAGAAATTGGAACACATCCTCTTTGTTTTACTGTCATCTCATTATTGTAAATGTATCTTTTACATATTCACTGGACTTCTTGTCAGAAATGATCTTGAACAAGAGGTTTGTATTATATTGTCAGCTTGATCCTGTTGATCGACCGTGTATATTTTATATTTCTAAGTCATAGTGTTTGTGTATGCCAGTCTGAATGACATCTGCTTAAATAGTCAAGTGCTCATCGATGTGTCTGTCGTTTTTTTAACTTCGGTCATACAGAGGATGGCAGGATGGATCAAATGCTCCAAGTCCTCTTATGTCAGCATATGGTATGCAACATGCACAACCGTCTTGATACTCATTTCTCCAAGTCCTCTTATCAGAATATGGTATGCAACATACACAACCGTCTTGATACTCATTCCTCCAAATCCTCTTATCTCAGCATATGGTATGCAACATACACAACCGTCTTGATACTCATTGCTCCAAATCCTCTTATCTCAGCATATGTTATGCAACATACATAACCGTCTTGATACTCATTCCTCCAACTCCTCTTATCTCAGCATATGGTATGCAACATACACAACCGTCTTGATACTCATTGCTCCAAGTCGTCTTATCTCAGCATATGGTATGCAACATACACAACTGTCTTGATACTCATTGCTCAGAGTCCTCTTATTTCAGCATATGGTATGCAACATACACAGCCGTCTTGATACTCATTGCCCCAAGTCATCTTATCTCAGAATATGGTATACAACATACACAATCGTCTTGATACTCATTTCTCCAAGTCCTCTTATCTCAGCATATGGTATGCAACATACACAACCGTCTTGATACTCATTGTTCCAAGTCCTATTATGTCAGCATATGGTATGCAACATACACAACCATTTTGATACTCATTGCTCCAACTCCTCTTATATCAGCATATGGTATGCAACATACACAACCGTCTTGATACTCATTGTTCGCAGTCCTCTTATCTCAGCATATGGTATGCAACATACACAACCGTCTTGATACTCATTGCTCCAAGTTCTCTTATCTCAGCATATGGTAAGCAACATACACAATCGTCTTGATACTCATTGCTCCAAGTCTCTTATCTCAGCATATGGTAAGCAACATACACAATCGTCTTGATACTCATTGCTCCAACTCTTCTTATCTCAGCATATGTTAGCAACATACACAACCGTCTTGATACTCATTGTTCCAAGTCCTATTATGTCAGCATATGGTATGCAACATACACAACCATTTTGATACTCATTGCTCCAACTCCTCTTATATCAGCATATGGTATGCAACATACACAACCGTCTTGATACTCATTGTTCCAAGTCCTCTTATCTCAGCATATGGTATGCAACATACACAACCGTCTTGATACTCATTGCTCCAAGTTCTCTTATCTCAGCATATGGTAAGCAACATACACAATCGTCTTGATACTCATTGCTCCAACTCCTCTTATCTCAGCATATGGTATGCAACATACACAACCGTCTTGATACTCATTGCTCCAACTCCTCTTATCTCAGCATATGGTATGCAACATACACAACCGTCTTGATACTCATTGTTCCAAGTCCTCTTATCTCAGCATATGGTATGCAACATACACAACCGTCTTGATACTCATTGCTCCAAGTCTCTTATCTCAGCATATGGTATGCAACATACACAACCATCTTGATACTCATTGCTCCAAGTCCTCTTATTTCAGCATATGGTATGCAACATACACAACCGTCTTGATACTCATTGCTCCAAGTTCTCTTATCTCAGCATATGGTATGCAACATACACAACCGTCTTGATACTCATTGCTCCAACTCATCTTATCTCAGCATATGGTATGCAACATACACAACCATCTTGATACTCAATGCTCCAAATCCTCTTATCTCAGCATATGGTATGCAACATACACAACCGTCTTGATACTCATTTGTACAAGTCCTCTTATCTCAGAATATGGTATGCAACATACACAACCGTCTTGATACTCATTGCTCCAACTCAACTTATGTCAGCATATGGTATGCAACATACACAACCGTCTTGATACTCATTGCTCCAACTCATCTTATGTCAGCATATGGTATGCAACATACACAACCGTCTTGATACTCAATGCTCCAAATCCTCTTATGTCAGAACATGGTATGCAACATACACAACCGTCTTGATACTCATTTGTCAAAGTCCTCTTATCTCAGCATATGGTATGCAACATTCACAACCATCTTGATACTCATTGTTCCAAGTCCTATTATCTCAGCATATGTTAGCAACATACACAACCATTTTGATACTCATTGCTCCAACTCCTCTTATCTCAGCATATGGTATGCAACATACACAACCGTCTTGATACTCATTTCTCCAAGTCCTCTTATCTCAGCATATGGTATGCAACATGCACAACCGTCTTGATACTCATTTCTCCAACTCCTCTTATCTCAGCACATGGTATGCAACATACACAACCGTCTTGATACTCATTGCCCCAAGTCCTCTTATCTCAGCATATGGTATGCAACATACACAACCGTCTTGATACTCATTGCTCCAACCCCTCTTATCTCAGCACATGGTATGCAACATACACAACCGTCTTGATACTCATTGCCCCAAGTCCTCTTATCTCAGCATATGGTATGCAATATGTACAACCATCAGTATCAAGTTAATGATTGGTGCAATGATCAAGACAGGACATACGGTTTGCATGTACTTATCCAAAACAAACATTTGCTCAGAAAAAACCCATAAGTAATAGCAAGTGTATCTTCTGTTGCGACGTTCACACTCCGATGTGGGTTTTACAGGTTTTCCTGGAGATTATTGATGCATGGGTGGTAACAAGTAGAACGACCGTCAGCTGTATCTGTGAGAAAAGACATATCAGTATTAACGAAGGATACAGGACCATTCCTTAATGTTGTGAAAGAGATACTGTTAATGCCCAATGTGTAAAACAGATAAGTGTGGATATTTCTGAATTGTTCACAATGCAAACTCAACTCAAACTCTAATTCACTTTATTACAGACCCGTGAAGATCCGGGGTAGAATAGGTCTTCAGCAACCCATGCTTGCCGTAAATTGCGACTATGCTTGTCGTAAGAGGCGACTAACGGGATTGGGTTGTCAGGTTCGCTTACTTGGTTGATGCATGTCATCGATCGTATCCCAAGTGCCTGGATCGATGCTGATGATGTCAATCACTGGATTGTCTGGTCCAGACTCGATTATTTACAGACCGACGTGATATAGCTGGAATGTTGCTGAGTGCGGCGTTAAACAACAATCCAACCAAACCAAAACCACTTTAAAACAGCTTTAGATTATTTACAATGATATATGAACCTCCCATAAGTATACATTTAAATTGAACATGGCACTGACAGGTGATACAGTAAGCACTACACTCCTCGGTTAACCTAGTCATTTGTTCAATTTGTCTATTTTGTTTAATTGATAAACATGTGTGTTCAGATTTGAAGGTATCATTGAGTATTTGATGCCTCAAGATCCGTGGAGGGGGCACGGGTGGCCCAGTCGTCTAAGGCGCCGCGATTCGCTGTGCAGAGTTGCGTCCCTTGGGCACGCGAGAAACCTATGATTGTGGGTTCGAATCCCGGTTCGCCCCGATTATGTTTCTAGGTTTGTCAGCACCATACCCGTGCTCGTGGGTTTCACCAAAGTGGTAATCGTCTGAGACCTGCACACTTCGGGCTTTCCTCCCACATTAAGCTGACACGCCGCGATATAACTGGAATACTGTTAAAAGCGGCGTTAAACCCCAACACACTCACTCACTCACTCAAGATCCGTGGCGATTCCGGTTAGAACTGGTCCCCAGCAACTAATGCTGTACGAGGCGACTTCGATCAGGTGATCAGGCTCAGGCCCAGAGAGACCCGTGTCGATTGTGGTTCGATTATAACAACTAATGACCTTACTTTAGCTAGCTGTAGCGTGACTACACAGACAAAGTGCCGGAGAAACGAGACTGTGAAAAGTTAATGTTCACTGTAGCACACAGGGGAAAGAAGAGAGATTTTCCCGTCTTTGCACGCAGAAGAGCTATAAGCTGACTCGTGCTGTTGCGGTGACAAGTAGTTGACAGTGAAGATGACTTCTGCTATACAAAATGCAGGAATTTGGGAATGGTGTAATAGTGGTAGTATTCTTAGAATTATTAACAATGATAACTATTGTTTCTATGACTGTGGGTTCGAATCCCGGTTCGCCCCGATTATGTTTCTAGGTTTTGTCAGCACCATACCCGTGCTCTTGGGTTTAACAAAAGTGGTAAACGTTTCAGACCTGCATTACTTCGGGCTTTCCTCCCACATTAAGCTGACAAGTCGTGATATGACTGAAGTACAGTGCACAGTGGTCTTAAACCCACCTCACTCACTCACTCCAATACTATCGCTGCCACCAGTCACAGCTCCCCACTGTGCTATGATGCCTTCAACCATGTCTGGAGTTCAACTCAAAACCGCATGACCGTTATGTTCAGAAACAAGTGATGACTTAGTGACGCCGAATACACTTTACCAGTTACTTTATTTCGTTTGTTAGTCAGTTTGAATTTATATTTCATTTCATCTCTCATGTAAGTAGTGTAGTGGTAGGGGAAACCGGAATTTCCTTTAACCTGTAATCCTGAACCAGTTTGATTGAAGTGATGAAGTAAACAATTAAAGATGGTGGCATCAGTATGGCTTCAATTTCCTTTCATTATTGAAGTATGACGTTCCTTAAACAGAATTCTTTGCTGGGCCCACCTATAGGACCGAGGGGATTATTTTTGTATATTCAGAGCATTTCCAACCCCTTTCCAACGATGCATTACGCCTAATGTTTATTCAAATACCCTACCATAAAGAGGAACAGTACGTTATTTACGTTATTTTCATTTATGTCCATCACAAAAAAACGACAATAAGGTTGTGACGGTGTGGGCATATGAAAAAGACACTACGATGGGTTACCTAGGATTGATGAAGAATTTTGCCAACGGTCAAGGCATGGAGAAATTGGTGACTTCCTTCCATAAAGTCCAGGCTACCAGTTCTCACTACTCAAGGAAGTTAAGATCAAATTACTGCTAAACGCCTGCCACAAGTACATGTGACGAAGTTGACAACCCCCCCCCTCCTTCCCCAACACACACACACACACACACACACACACACACACACAC